CACATTTATCAATAGGTGGATCCAACTAACCAATACATACGTTTTAATGGTATTTCTGAAGGTTATATTTGGTAGCAGGAATGTGTCAGTACACTTGAGGGGGTCTTACATTACACTTGACCAGGAAGAAGTTGATGGTGTTCTGAAGGGTGGGAGTCCAGCTTTTTTTTTATCCTCTTCCGTTTATTTTTGTTTTATTTTTATTTTTTTATAGATTTTACTTTGTCACACACACACACACACACACACACACACACACACACACACACACAAAGATTTCCTAAGGGCTATCCATCTAATTAATTTATCTCTGTTTTTCCCCATATTTTGTTTTCTATTCTCAGCGGTACGATATTTCATCACATAAACGGCAGCAACGGTGAGCGCCAATCAGCTGACAGACAGCCTATAGTGGTGAGTTGCCAGACGTATAACAGTGTCATTGTTCGTAAGTCGATAGCCACCACCACCTGTTAAATGGTCGCGTGTTTCATGAATTAGATAGATAGATATATAATAAGGATAAGGAATAAGGTAGAATGGAGAGGCATTTGTGTTTACATTTTTTCTCTCAGTGACGGCCGGGGTTGAGCTAATTTACTTCCGGTTTAATTTATAGATTTATATAAACTATTAATGTACACATTTGGTTTTTATTCAATCACTAGTTTACATATTTGTATTATTTATTTATTTATCTACTTTGTCTCGGAATTATTGCACATTTATATAATTTTTGGTTAATATTGTCACGTAAAACTCATTATTGTGACCCGTAATTATAAACCCGTGACTGTGCACCGCCAAAACAGGAGAAAATCATGTTTCTTTAACTACTTCCTTTGGTAACTAACCCTTAATTAGGCCTTAATGATAAAGAATGAAAGGTAATTACGTCCTAACAATAACAAATGAAGTATAATTATGTCCGGGTAATAATACACACTAGGTAATTATACCTTTTGTGGAGGTGAACGATGAAAAGGACAGAGGTCGCTTCAAGGAGTCAATTTTAATAGTTTCCTTGTTACATCATTTATAGTTCTCTCTCTCTCTCTCTATCTCTCTCTCTCTCTCTCTCTCTCCTTCCTCTCCCTCATCTTCTTTCTTTAAAATATGCATTGGATCCCAGAATAATCAGAGAGATAGATAGATATTGTCAAGTGTGATGAGGCATTTATTGGTTTGGTCACACCTGGTCTACCTGATGTAAGGTGAAGTAGTGGGTTAAGTGGAACACCTGAGAGCCCTTCACCTGCCTCTCCTCACCTTCCCCTGCCTCTCCCTTCCTCTACCTGCCTTTCCCTTCCTTTCCCTCTCTCCCTCTCCCTGCCTCTCCCTGCCTCTCCTTCCCTCCATCTGTCTTTACTTATCTCTCCCTCCTTCTACCTGCACCTCCTCGCTTCTACCCTCCCTCTATCCACCCTCCCCGTCTATTCTCCATCCATTATCACCACGACCCATCCCCACTCTTCCTTCCCTGCCCCTCCCCGCACCTTGAGGCTGGGCTAGACACCTCCCCTCCAGTATATTGCTGCCTCATTACCATATCAAAAGGAGTGACGTTGGCAACACTAGATGATGTTTTACTTTCTCAGTGAGTCTTAGTGGAGGGAGAGTGTGTTCAGTCCCTCTCTCTATCCCTCTCTTTTCTTTCTATCCCTCTCTCTTCTTTCCTCTTTCAATCCCTCTCTCTTCTTTCCTCTTTCAATCCCTTTCATTTTCTCTCACCTTTGCGCGCTTCTCTCTCTCTCTCTCTCTCTCTCTCTCTCTCTCTCTCTCTCTCTCTCTCTCTCTCTCACTTGTTGCTACTGTCACTGGTCCAGTCTCCCCTTACCCTCACCCTTCCCCCTCTCACCTCTCCACACGCTCCCACTCACATAAGGGAAGATTAATGATCATGAGAACAATAACAACAACAATAACGATGGGAATAATAACCAAAACAACAACAATAATAAAGAAAAGGGAAATAAAATTAATTAAAACTAAACATTCCCTCACAGCAGGTGTTTCAAAGGGGCTAATTACAGGTGAGTGTTGATACAGGTAAGGCATCAGAAGGGGGCTAATTACAGGTGAACCAACAACAGGTGTTTCAAGAGGACTAATTACAGGTGAGTGTTGATACAGGTAAGGCATCAGAAGGGGGCTAATTACAGGTGAACCAACAACAGGTGTTTCAAGAGGACTAATTCCAGGTGAGTGCTGATACAGGTAAGGCATCAGAAGGGGGGCTAATTACAGGTGGCCATCAGCAGGTGTTACAAGACATCAACAAGTGTGTGACGTCAACTCTCTCAGTCCCTCTCCTCCACGCCTCTCACCACCTGAGGACTCTTCAACCACTCGTACAGTTTCCTTCATCTTCTACCACGTCTTCCTTCCTCCTCTTCCTCTCCTTTCTCTTCCATCCTCCCCCTTCACATCCCTACTTTACACCTCCTCCTACGCCATCCCTCCCCTTCCCTTACTCCTTCTTACCTCTTCCTCTTCCATCCCTCTTCTCCACCCCACCATCTTACCTCTCCCCCCTTCCTCCCCCAGCCCCCAGCACCCTACCTATAATGTTACCTCGTTAGGGCGGTGTGGTTAGGTTAGGTCAGATAAGGTCAATCAATCGTCTTCTCAGGTAAACCATAATTGATTTTCTTCCTCCAGTAGCCTTACCTGTGTGTGTATGTGTGTGTGTGTGAGACTGCCTCTAAATCATAACTGCAAACTATGGCTTCCTCCTCCTCCTAGCTGGGGAACCAACTTCTTCCACATCGTCACCCATTCTCCTCCTCTTTCCCTCCACTCCCTCCTTCCCCCTCCACCCCTCCCTCCCCTCCCTCCTCCTTCCCTCCACCAGACTGTTGTCACTAGTGCATTCTCCAGGAACACGTCACTCATATTCTTCATTTACAGATATTGGTGTTTCAAGTCACCCACAATGATTTTCTTTTCGGTGACATATGAAACAGGTGACACGACCTGGGGGGGACCTGAGGGGGGACCTGGGGAGACCTGGGGACCTGGGAAAACTTGTGAAGACCTGGGGAGACTTAAAAGGACCTTGAAGATTTGGGGGAGACTTAAGAGGACTTGGGAAGACTTGAGAAGACCCAGGAACCCTTTTCTCTCCCTCACAATCTCCTTCTCTCCCTCACAATCCCCTTCTCTCCCTCACAATCCCCTTCTCTCCCTCACAATCCCCTTCTTTCCCTCACAATCCCCTTCTCTCCCTCACAATCCCCTTTTCTGTACGTCAATCTTATTTCCCTCCTTACTATCTATTTTTTTATACTGTAATTAATTCCATAAATATATTTCCAATTCAGTAAAAACATGAGATAATTAATTTGCATACGTATTTTCTTTCGTCTTTATCTTTTAATTAATTTTTATCACGTCGTTGCGATTTTTTTTTTCATTAATAGGTCTAAAATTTTATGGTTTTGAGTGGATGTGTTTCCTCTTGAATGATTATTGTTATTATTATTATTATTAGTTATTGTAGTAGTAGTAGTAGTAGTAGTAGTAGTAGTAGTAGTAGTAGTAGTAGTCAGACACAAGATAACTCACCTCAAAACACAAACACACCTTCAGTCCGTTAATGAGAGGTAAGACTCCACCACACAAACACACCTCCAGTCCGTTAATGAGAGGTAAGACTCCACCACACAAACACACCTCCAGTCCGTTAATGAGAGGTAAGACTCCACCACATAAACACACCTTCAGTCCGTTAATGAGAGGTAAGACTCCACCACATAAACACACCTTCAGTCCGTTAATGAGAGGTAAGACTCCACCACACAAACACACCTTCAGTCCGTTAATGAGAGGTAAGACTCCACCACACAAACACACCCTCAGTCCGTTAATGAGAGGTAAGACTCCACCACATAAACACACCTCCAGTCCGTTAATGAGAGGTAAGACTCCACCACACAAACACACCTCCAGTCCGTTAATGAGAGGTAAGACTCCACCACACAAACACACCTCCAGTCCGTTAATGAGAGGTAAGACTCCACCACACAAACACACCTTCAGTCCGTTAATGAGAGGTAAGACTCCACCACATAAACACACCCTCAGTCCGTTAATGAGAGGTAAGACGCCGCCACACAACACTGAGTTTACCGGCGGAGATTTAAAGATCCGTTCCACTCTCGTTGTTCACTACCATTATGGAAATTACTTACATTAACCTCTTAAGTAAATGCATTTAGCTTATGCAGTAATCCACATCACCACAGACCCCAGGAGACAAGATGCTGGAGGAGTGTTGGAGGGAGGGAGGGCCAGGTGAATGTTCTGAAGATGGTGACTCCTTTAATGACGACAGCTTAGTGGTGTGTGTGTGTGTGTGTGTGTGTGTGTGTGTGTGTGTGTGTGTGTGTGTACAGTACATCACATACACCAAAACAATACTCAATCGCCAGAGTGTAAATGCCTCTTCCTCCTCCCCGTTCACCTCCTCGTCCACCTCCTCTTCCTCCTCCTCTTCCTCCTCTTCGTCCACCTCCTCTTCCTCCTCCTTCTCCTCCACTACCCGGGCCTGTGATGACTCCAGATACATTGAAATGAAATTCATACCGAGCATGAGCCGCCCAGACCATTCCCTGTCTGGAATGTTGCACCAAAACTGAAATTGCAGTTGATTTCAATGACCTGCTATTATCGTTCCGGCCCAACAGATGTACGGCGAGACGACCAACCTAACCTAACCGAACCCAACCTAGCCTAACCGAACCCAACCTAGCCTAACCTAACCGAACCCAACCTAGCCTAACCTAACCGAACCCAACCTAGCCTAACCTAACCGAACCCAACCTAGCCTAACCTAACCGAACCCAACCTAGCCTAACCTAACCTAAACACGATTAATATTTAACAGTTATTTTGCACGACGAAGACGAACGTGGTGTAAGGTACTGAGAAAAAAAGAGCTGGAGTACCTACCTGACGAAGCTTCTGTAGGAGGAGGAGAGAGGGTAGTGTGTACTTACCTAGTTCAGGGCCACAGAGAGTCGGGATGACTTTGAGGATGGCAGAACAGTTGGAGTCTTCATCACACAGCTGCTTGGCCAGAAGACAGTTGAGGGTCTGGTGCTCCTGTTCCTGCCCGCCTGTGGGAGACACCAGGGGGTTAGTGAGTGTTGCTGCTGCCCTCGCTGTTTCTCTCTCTCTCTCTCTCTCTCTCTCTCTCTCTCTCTCTCTCTCTGGTTAATATTACAAGGTTCATCCTATAGATAATAATAATAATAATAATAATAATAATAACAAAAAACAATAATTTGGCTGGCAGAAGACAAAACGGCCATTCACCAGCGCCTGTCTGCCATTTGAATACGAGGATAATTTATGTATATTCATATAAATAAAATATATATCCATTAGAATATACCTGCAGCCAGTATGTCACACACCTTTAAAATATATACCAAAAGTTATGTAAATTTATATATGTATTTTCTGTAACTCGTTGAATATATTAAGTCTTGAACCGCTTATCTGGGAGAGTGTAGGTCATGTGTGAGAGAGAGAGAGAGAGAGACTAACAGAAAAAAAGTAAATATACCTAACCTAACCTAACCTAACCCCCAGATAACATTAGAATAGTTAATCAAAATAAGCTGTGTTGTCTAAAATCCAGGTGAATTAAGCTGGGGGGGAGGGGGGTGGGGGCTAATCTCCAGGTGTTCGTGTTTCACAATATTGGGATCACCAAGTCTGTATAAAAACTGGCAGCGGGGACCCACGTCATCACGCTAATTAGTTGCAGGTATCGTCAGACTCACCTGAGATTCGTTGGACCTTTACGTGATGATATGTGAAGCAGTTACTCTGTAATCATGGTTAAGGTGTTAAAAGTTACCTGTGTGTGTGTGTGTGTGTGTGTGTCCTTGACTTACCATGACCTGCCTTGACCTTCCTCGACCTACCTTCACCCCTTCACCTACCCTGACCTACCTCCCACTACACCTGTCTTCACCTGAGCTAGTGATCTACCTGCTGCAGACATAACTCAGGTATTATCTAATCATCCAACACGCCCTCACACTCTCAACCAAACCAAGTCGACCATTTTTATCATATAGTTAACAAAGGACACAAACTCTCACCTATGTACGTAAAAAAAATATATAGTGGACATAATGAACACGAGCAGGTAACAAATCACACCTGTATATTGCTAATGAGGAAAAAAAGATACTTCTAACTATATCTAACAGGAAGATACTTTACTCTGTATGTCAAAAACCTCCATTTACCGGATTTTCGTTTTAATATAAGGGGTGTAGTCCGGTAAATGGAGGTTTTATATATAGCGGATTTCTCTCTATATACCGTACAGTCCGTTAGATGGAGGTTTTCACTGTAGTTTCAGGAGAGGGAAAGTGGGAAAAGGGAAGGAGGAGAAGGAAAGAAGAGGGAAATAGAGAAAGGGGGAGGCAGATAAGGAAGGAGAAGAAATAAAGAGGCAAACAGGGGAGCAGAGAGTGAGGGTGAATGGAGAGAGAAAGAGGAAATCAAAAAGAGAGACAAGAAGTGAAGGAGAGGGAAGAGAAGAGGAGGGAAGGAGTTTGTCGCCACCAGAGAGAGCGTTAACCTACTCTTCAATAAGCTTTTGGTTCCCCCGGGGGTCTAGAGTTGGGATGACTTCTCTTACTAGAATGGAACAATTGTCACAGATCTGTACACGTCATCAAATATACACGGGGCGAACGGTGTCAGGGAGAGAGGGGTGGTCAGGGAGAGGGGTGGTCAGGGAGAGGGGGGAAGGGTGGCGGTGGTAGTGGTATGATATGTGAGAAACCTGGAACACACACACACACACACACACACACACACACACACACACACACACACACACACTGTCTTATATATTCTATGACCTGGAGAAGTTGTGAGGCTGAGTTGGGTACAAGTTGTTTCTGTTGCCCAGTGAGAGAGAGAGAGAGAGAGAGAGGAATTGGCAGAGAAAAAAAAATAGTTTTATACATACATTCATTCATACATACATACATACATACATACATACATACATACATACATACATACATACATACATACATACATACATAACTCCCTCTTCGTGACCATAAAACTTCACAAAGACCACAACAAAGACTGGTGACTTAAGCAGTACCTAAAGACTCATATATTTTTAAAGACTTGAGAATAAAGAAAGACTAAAGTGACTCACGACTCTTAATGACAAGGTGTAGAGTTATTAGCTCCAAGTGACTCTATACCTGAGAGCCTTATGACTATACTGGAGACTTATTGACTCTGACAGACTCATGACAAAGAGACCAGATTGAGCTTTATGACTCTGAGAAAAGAATCATGACTCGAGGTTGAGTTCTATGACTCTCAGAGACTTATGACTCAAAATGACACACAAGACTTTAGAAAGACTAATTAAGCTTGACCAAATATAAAGGCTAATGGGCGAAAATTTATTGATTTAAATTACCCTAAAGGCTTATAATTAGACTCTTGGTGATTTTCAAGACTTTAGAGGCTTATAATTACACTTGGGGCATACTAATTAGACTTTGGAGTTTATGATTAGACTCTAGAGGTTTATAACTAGACATTTGAAGCTTAAAACAAGTCCCTCGAGGCTCATAATAAGACTCTCAAGGCTTACAATTAGACTCTTGGGGATTTTAAAGACCTTAGAGGCTTATGATTAGACTCTAGAGGTTTATAACTAGACATTTGAAGCTTAAAACAAGTCCCTCGAGGCTCATAATAAGACTCTCAAGGCTTACAATTAGACTCTTGGGGATTTTAAAGACCTTAGAGGCTTATGACTAGACTCTGGAGGTTTATGATAATGATTAAGAGTATTAAGAGCGCTTGGAGAGCTAATGAACATCGATTCTGAGGACCGATACGACTCAAAAATGATTATGAGTAAATGTTTTTGAGGCTTCGTGTGACTCAAAAAATCTAGAGACAGACAGACAGACAGACAGACAGACTTTCAAAACAATAAAAAAATCTAAATGACCTTCCCTCCTCTCTCTTTTCTTCTTTTCTCTCCTCCTCCCTCCCTCCTCCTCCTCTCTCTTCTTCTTCTCCTCCTCCTCTTCCCCTCCCTCTTATTCCTCTCTCTAAGTTGATCAGAGACGATTGTTGTGGTGGTCTTCTTCTTCTTCTTCTTCCTCTCTCAACAACTACTGCCTCTTCCTCTCTCCTCCCCCATCCCTCCTCCCCCCACATCCCCTCCTCCCGCCCCTCCTCCCTCTCTTCCTCCCCACATCCCCCTCCTCCTCCACCCCCTCCCCTCCCCTCCCCCCACCCCCTCCTCCTCCTCCTCCCCCCCACCCCTCCTCCTCCCACCCCACCCCCCTCCCCTCTCCTCCCTCCCCCCCCCCCTCCTCCCTCTCCACCCATTCCCCAAGTTTCACGGTAATCCAATTTGCATTACTTAATGGACTAGTGGAGCCCCTCTCCCCCCTCCCCCCACGCGACAAAAGACAGACAGCGCTGATGAGACGACACCTCTCTCCTCACTTCCTCTCCACTTTCTCCTCTCTTTTTCTATCACATTCTTACTCCCTCTTCCTTCTATCTCCCCCTCATTTATTTATCTCTCTCTCTCTCTCTCTCTCTCTCTCTATCATACATCTGTACTAAAATAAATAAAAATAATGACATCGCTGACATCCTTTATTTTCAATGGACAACAACAACAACAGCAACAACAATTGCAGCAACAACCACAACAACAACCACCACAACAACCACCACCACCAACAACAACAACAACAACAACCACCACACAACAACCACCACCACAACAACCACAACAACCACCACAACAACAGGTTAAAATATTATACCTATGTCTCTTGGCTGTTTAATTTCCTTTTATGAGCGACTAAGTACTACCTTCCCTCACCTCTCATCACTCCTCTCACATCCCTCCTCCTCACATCCCTCCCCTCCTCACATCCCACTCACCTCTCACATCCCACTCACCTCTCATCTCTCACTTTCATCTCTTATTTCTGCCTCTCTCTCTCTCTCTTTTACCATCTCTTCTTTTCTTCTTCCTCTCACCTCTCACACACCAGCTGAGACAAACAAACAAACAAACAAACAAACAAGTAAAAAGCCAATAATTACATCCCACAGTTTGTTTGTTGAGAGGAAAAACCTTCCGTCGTTACTTACCCCAAACGTCCTTGAGAGAGAAGCTTTATGGCAATGTTTTACCTGCTGTGGTGGTGTGGTGGTGTGGTGGTGGTGTGGTGTTGTGTGTGGTAGTGTGGTGGTGTGGTGGTGTGAGTGTAGTGTGGTGGTAGTGAGTGGTAGTGTGGTGGTGTGAGTGTGTGTGTGTGTGTGGTGTGTAGTGTGGTGTGTGTGTGTGGTGTGGTGTAGTGTGGTAGTGCTGTGGTGGTGTGGTGGTGGGTGAGTGTGGTGTAGTGGAGTGTGGTGTGGTGTGGTGGTGTTGTGGTGCTGTGGTGGTGTGGTGGTGTGGTGCTAGTGTGGTGTAGTGGTGTGGTGGTGGTGTGGTGTGGTGGTGTTGTGGTGCTGTGTGGTGTGGGTGTGGTGCTAGTGTGGTGTAGTGGTGGGGTGTAGTGGTGTGGTGGTGTGGTGTGGTGGTGTGGTGTGTGGTGTAGTGGTGGTGTGGTGGTGGTGTGTGGTGTGGTGGTGTGGTGGTGTGGTGGTGTTGTGGTGGTGTGCTGGTGTGGTGGTGTGGTGGTGGTGTGGTGCTAGTGTGGTGTGGTGTAGTGGTGTAGTGGTGTGGTGGTGTGGTGGTGGTGTGGTGGTGTGGTGGTGGTGCTGCTGCGGTAAGTTGCGCTGTGTTTATGGTCTGGGTGAATCCACATCTCCATTGTTAACTTCTCTCGTCTGACAATGGAACCTTCACTTCCTTATGCCATTGTCTTCATCTTCTCCTGTCTCTCTCTCTCTCACCTTCCCTTCTCTCCCCTCTCCCCTCTCCGACCCTCACCCACTACCTCCACCTCATCCTCCCTACCCTCACCTCTTCCCCATCCACTCGCATCTATTCTCCCTCCTACCCTACCCTCGACCTTCCTCCTCCCTCTCCCTCCCTCTCACCCCTCTCCATCCCTCTCCCAAGGTAATAGCACAGTCGGTCTCTTGTTTCATTTCGAATTACCAACTCAGGAAGGCTATTGTCCACTCACAATGGCCGAGCCGAACACCAAGTCTTCATTTGTGGGTGAGGGAGCTGGCGTGAGGGTGAGGAAGGGCGTGAGGGGGGTTGAGGGAGGGAAGAAATTTGAGGAGGTGAGGGGGTGTGTGGGGGTGGGGAAGGGGGAGATTTTAGGAGTGATGGGAGAGGGAGAGAAGGAGGTGTGGGCAGGGAGGAGAGAGAGAGAGGGGAGCTTGGCGGAGGAAGAGGAAGAGTGAAAGCGGAAGAAGAGAGAGAAACACAAAAGGATAAGAAAATCACAACAAAGAAGAAAATAATATATAGTAGAAAACAAAGACAAGAATAAAAGAAAAGAGATGAAACAATAAGTGATGGAAACAAAGATTGGTGTGTGTGTGTGTGTGTGTGTGTGTGTGTGTGTGTGTGTGTGTGTGTGTGTGTGCGTGCGTGTGTGTGTGCGTGTGTGTGTGTGTGTGTGTGTGTGTGAGAAGGGAGACTTAAGAGCGTGGGCGTGAGGCATTGCGGAAGGTTGCGTGGGAAGGCTGTATCTATTTTGGTTTTCTGAGCCATGACGGGCGTGTGGGAAGGAGGAAGGGAAGGAGGAAGGGAGGGAGGAGGGAGGAAGGAGGAAGGAGGAGGGAAGGGAGGGAGGGAGGATGGGGAGAGGGAGGAAGGGAGGGAGGGAGGAGGGGAAGGGAGGGAGGGAGGAGGTATCGTTTTATCCAATAGCGCGTGTGGGTGACTTTCTGAAGAAGCTGGTTGGATGTATGTAAGTATATATGTATGTATGTATGTATGTATGTATGTATGTATGTATGTATGTATGCTTTACCCATCAATACTGAGTCATTTCCGATACCTAAACACAACAGGTGTGTAAAAGTTTAGTTAAAAGCAGCACACCTGTCACCTTACCTGCCTCTCTCTCTCTCTCTCTCTCTCTCTCTCTCTCTCTCTCTCCCTAATGAACTACTTACAAGAACAATGTACGTCATAAAAAGTCACTTATAATTAATGTATAATCTGAATTCAAACTTTTTTTATCTTACATAAGGACAAGACAGTTAATTAATTTAAACACACACACACATACACACACATATATACACACACAGCTTTACCTAATTACCTCTCCAACCAAGATCATAATAATAACATGAATTACATATATTTAATATTTTTTTACATATCATAGTTAATTAAATTCATTGTTACCTGAGCGTTATGTAGCTCTTAATTATGTTTACCTTCGGCGTAAAGTAATTAGTTAAAGTCATTAGTTGGTGCTATATGATGCGGGTCACTGATGCTGTTAACGACTTCTTCCATAAAGAGAGAATGATTAAACAGGAATTAATAACAATGTTCTATAATAATAATAATAATAATAATAATAATAATAATAATAATAATAATAATAATAACAACAACAATAACAACAACAATACTACTACTACTACTACTACTACTACTACTACTACTAATAATAATAATAATAATAATAATAATAACAACAATAACAACAACACACCTACACATCGTTGCCTTACTGCTCTGTTGGTCTAAATCTTTGGACGTATTTTACACCTGATGGCGTTCTGTAAGTATGGCTCTCTCTCTCTCTCTCTCTCTCTCTCTCTCTCTCTCTCTCTCTCTCACACAACAAACCACACGCAAGACCTACATGACCTCGCCACAGGAGTCAGCAGGTCGTCGGGAATCACTGCCTCTCCTCAGCGCCCAGAATGACCACCAGGTAAAGAGATTTGCTTCCCACACCCAGAATGTCATTATTGGGTGCTGGTTCCTGAAGGGGGAGGTCTCTGTATCAACGCTCCGCCCTAGTGAACCCCTGAAGGAGGAGGTCTCTGTATCACCGCCCCACCCTAGTGAACCCCTGAAGGAGGAGGTCTCTGTATCACCGCCCCGCCCTAGTGAACCCCTGAAGGAGGAGGTCTCTGTATCACCGCCCCGCCCTAGTGAACCCCTGGAGAACCCGTGACCAAGACGGCGTATCACATAGACAGCTGAGGCGGGAGAAGAACAAGAAGAACAAGACGAACAACAAGAACAGGAAGAACAAGAAGAAAGTTTGCGACAAGAGATGAGAATGAAGACCCAGAAGTGAACTTAGGGCGCTAGACAAGACTTAAGGGCGAGAGTTTGGCGTTACTTGAGGAGCTTTAAGTAAGGGGGGAGTGAAAGGCTTTAGGTAGATGGCGGGTTGTGGTGGCTACTTCTGGCCTCATCCGCTACTTTAATTAACCCCCAGCGGCTACTTTAACGTACTCTGGCGGCTACTTTAACGTACTCTGGCGGCTACTTAAACGTACTCTGGTGGCTACTTTAACGTACTCTGGCGGCTACTTTAACGTACTCTGGTGGCTACTTTAACGTACTCTGGCGGCTACTTTAACGTACTCTGGCGGCTACTTTAACGTACTCTGGTGGCTAATTTAATTAATCCTGGGGCCACTTTAACCACCAACGAACACTTGCTTTTTTGTTTACTCATTATTCCCCCCCAAAATTAAACATGTATGTATGTATGTATGTATGTATGTATGTATGTATGTATGTATGTATGTATAAAAGTACATATAAAGTGTCTATAAAATTATCACCATCTTTATAATTCAAAGAAATACTACTGAAAAAAAATATACCACACAATTATTGACTTTTTTTTTATAACTCAAAGTAACATAGCCCAGGTAAATACAGGTGAATCATGACGTCATTAAGGTAAAACTCCTCAGAGACTTAACAGGTACAAGTTTAAAGCTTATACAAGTCACGAGTGATTTAGACAGACTTAAAAGGTTTTGCTATAAAGTTGACGGTTCAGGGATGACAGACAGACAGACAGACAGACGGGGTGGGGGAAGGATTGTGTGTGTGTGTGTGTGTGTGTGTGTGTGTGTGAAGGGGAGAAGAAGAGAGAGTCAGAGATAATTAGATAGAATGACAGAGGTGAGAATAAGATATAGAGAAAAATAAGAGAGATAAAGAAAATAAGAGACAGAGAGAAGAGAGAATAAGTGAACGAGATTAAATGCGAGTGAAAAAATAAGCGACAAAAATGAAGAGACAGAGACACACACAATAAATGATAGGGAGAGAGAAAGAGAGATAATAAGAGACACTGAATATGAGAGAGAGAGAAAATGCAAGAGGAAGCCGGGTCACCTTAGGTCAACAAGGTAGTGTCTCTGCAACACAAATTTCACCCAACTCACCTGTTAATTAATCCAACATAAACAAAGGTGAGGAGGAACAGAGCACGGAAGGTAAACAACTCCTTTGTTGGGCCAGCCTATACCACCACCTGGCCCTAGTCACTATACCACCTGGCCCTAGTCACCATACCACCTGGCCCTAGTCACTATACCACCTGGCCTAGTCACTATGCCACCTGGCTGAATTACTATACCACACAGCCCCTAGTCACTATGCCACCTGGCCTAGTCACTGCCTACCACCTGGCCCTAGTCACTATGCCACCTGGCCTAGTCACTATACCACCTGGCCCTGGTCACCATACCTGGCCCTAGTCACCACCACCTGGCCCCTAGTCACTATACCACCTGGCTAGTCACCACCACCACCCCTGGCCCCTGATCACCATACCACCTGGCCTAGTCTTTATACCACCCACAGCCTAGTCACTATACCACCTGGCCTAGTCACTATGCTACCTGGCCCTAGTCACTATACCACCTGGCCTAATCACTGCCACCACCAGCCCTGAGTCACTATACCACCTGGCCTAGTCACTGCCTGGCCCCTAGTCACTACCTGGCTAGTCACTATACCCACCTGACTAGTCACTATACCTGGCCTAGTCCACTATACCACCTGGCCTAGTGCTATACCACCTGGCCTAGTCACTATACCACCTGGCCTAGTCACTGCTACCTGGCTAGTCACTACTACCACCTGGCCTAGTCACTATACCACCTGGCCCTAGTCACCCATACCACCTGGCCTAGTCCACTATACCACCTGGCCTAGTCACTATACCACCTGGCCCTAGTCACTATACCACCTGGCCTAGTCACCATACCACCTGGCCCCTAGTCACTATACCACTTGGCCACAATTATTACACCACCTGACTAATATCTCTCTCTCTCTCTCTCTCTCTCTCTCTCTCTCTCTCACCAAATAAAAATAACAAATATCTCCACGTGACGTAATTCATCATCAATAGGCAGTAAATCAAACCATAAAATAAGAAAAAAAAAATAAATAAATTCCTAAAAATATAAAACCAATCCACATGAAACATATCTTGAGTTATATCTATCGTTCCAGTGATATATTTACTGTATGACCCGAATTTAATAACCATGGCAACGTGTTAGACAGTGTTGCCATGTCCATGACTCCTGGTCGTAAGGTGAGGTTGGTAATACTGTTTTTTTTTATGTCATTCTTAGATGGAGTTTTGTTATTGTTATATGTTATTTTTGGTGATGTGTTATTGTTATTGATATTGTTATTAAATTTTACTGTTATTTTGCGATACTCCTCAATTACACAAATATACATACATACATATATACATACATACATACATACATACATACATACATACATACATACATATAATAATAATGGTTGTCCCTTGTGTAACGAGGATGGCCGACCCAAGGGCCACCTATGCGTGAATTTGTTTAAGGTGTAGAAGCTGTCGCCAACCCAACAACCACACCCTGAGTTAACGATTTGCATGACCCAGTGTCAAGGAATAGTCCAAGAAGACCGGACAACTCACCAACTGCACTGGCTAACCATTACCCCGGAACACGATTCATAAATCGATTAACATCCAGGTCCCCAATTACTGCTGGGTAGATAGAGGCAAATGGCGTAAAGAAACTTGCCCATAGTTTCACCCTGCCCGGGGATCGAACCAGGGTCCGCGAGGCGAGCACGCTGACCATTACACCACAGGCCGCCATACATACCAACATCCCATCAAGAAAAAATGACGAAAAAAAAAAAACAATTTGGGTTCTTTCCGTAATCTATCCCCTGTAGTTTCCTCCATTTAACCATCAGTGAGCCGTTAAACACACACACTCCACTCGTTACGGATCATCAAGTTAATTACAGCCTCGGTTAATGGAATTGGCTCCATTGGATCCCACGAAGAGCAAATGTTGGAAAATTAATCGAATCGTCAATACATGTGTCTGGGGTGGGGCCCTGTGTGTGCGTGTGTGTGTGTGCGTGTGTGTGTGTGTGTGTGTGAGAGGGAGAGAGAGAGAATAAGTAAAATCATGAAAAAGAAAAAGAATTGATAAAAAGAACGAGAGAAGGAGGAGGAGGAGAATAAGTCTTGCCCAAATACCTTTAACTTTCATCCAACATTTTTTCTCCATTTTAATTTCTTAATTCTTCGCCTCACTACTGGGACACAGTGTAGCCCACGGGAAGGTCTTAGGTCTGAGTTAGAGACGAGTTGAACTTCGAAATGAAAAATAGATATATATTTAATTCCTTTCACTATCATCACAATCATCTTGGCTTGGGAGGTAGAGGTAGGGGGGAGGTAGAGGGGTAGAGGTAGGGGGGATGTAGAAATTATGGGGTAGAGGTAGAGGGGAGTGCGTACAGAGAGAGAGTGGGGGAGTAGAGGTTAGAGGTAGAGGGGGTGTGGTAGGGGGGTAGGGGGTTGAAGGGGGTAGAGGCAGGGGGGTGGTAGAGGGAGGTGGTAGAGGGTGGTAGAGGGGGGTAGAGGTAGAGGGGGGGAGGTAGAGGGGAAGGTAGAGGTAGAGGAGGAGGGGGGTAGACAGATGTTAAAATGCCTTAGGTAAAATTGAAACATTAATAGTAATTTAATTTAATTTTTTAGGATCAACTCAAAAGAATTCTTCCTTTTCATTTCTAAGTCATGCTGGTCTGTTTCTTTCTCACCACCTGAATGTATAAACCAGTCCATTTTTCTTCACATACCCTCGGAAATGTCCCACTATATAATGGGTCTTATTCTTTATTTACTTTCTGGGTTGTTGTTAAGTGTACAAGAATTAGACAGTAGTAAATGACAGGAGAATAAATGAGACAGGGAGAAATTTAAATAGAGAATGAGAAAGAGAGAAAAGTGACAGAGAGGTAGTTAAAGATATATGAAGAAATGGTAATATATCTCTCTCTCTCTCTCTCTCCTCCAATGACCACCAGTTTCACCACATCTACACATAACTGGATGCATTTTAGAGAATTCTCTCCTTATGCATATGTATCTCACGTGTTAAAATAATATATTCAGATGTTGAGCAAATATGTTGATGAGTTGCACCGATCAGAATATATTCGCTTGTGGAGAGAGAGAGTACCAGCACAGGAGCAGACTCATCCATTTTATGGCACCAATTTGGGTGTTGGCTCCCCAGGGCAGTGTGTTTATGGTGGGGGTGGGCGTGTCGATGGCTCAGTGGGTGGCTTTCTGTTGCCTCTGTGTGTATGTGTGTGTGTGTGTGTGTGTGTGTGTGTTTGTGTGGATTAGTTTAGGTTAAGTTGGGTTAGTT